ACGAGTGGGCAAGAATGGTTTAATGTTAAAGAATTATTATTTTTTATTGCAAGAAATTTTCAAGAATATAAATTTATATAATTTTGTATTTACTTGTATATAATTTATAATTTAATAAAATTTTATATGATTTAATCTATATTGAAATGCTACTTGCCATAATGACAAATTTTTTTTCTTGTTTTCAAAAAAATATAATATATATTTATAATTATTTAATAATAAATATAGAATAAAAATCAAAAAAAATTAAATTTTCATCGATCTATCATTATCTCTGTTTAAATTAGATTCTTTAAAAATTTCTTAACTTTCGGTTTGGTAAAAACATTGATATTCCTTCCACATTAATAACACCATCTTAAAAGATATAGACTCTTCTCATATTTACTTGTTATTTTAATAAAGAATCTGAAACCTTGACCTTTGATGTTGTATTTTAATTCTCTCAAAATTGATATAAAATACCTGCAATTATCGTTTCTCATATTGATCTTAACCAAAATATCGATTATTAAATTTTATACTATTATTGTATTTGGAAAAATTACATAACATCAGAATTAAATCTATTTGTTTAAAATGAAGCCACGGAATTACCAAAATTTACTTAAAATTTTTAAATTAAATACAAAATGCCTTCATTCTTTTTTACTATCAAAAAATTTTTAAAATCAAAAGTATTAAAAGAAAACAAATATGAAAAAATGGCTTTTTCTTTCGCTGAACCAAACTATCCTGGATTTTCTTATTTATATTTGTTTAAAGAAGAATTCCATATTGAAATGGCCACAATTTGTGGCAAAGAACCAATGGTAAAATGAGTTTTCAAGATTATTTTACAAAATCTCGATAAAGATATGCTGTATAAACAAAAAGTCAAACCAACAAGGTTTGATGAAATAAAAATTTTTAAAATTGACCAAGAAGATGATAATGAATGGGAAGATACAAACGGGCTAGAGTGGTTTGACGTTAAATATTTGTTATTTTTTATTGGAAGACATTTTAAAGAATATAAATTTATGTAATTTTGTATTTACTGGTATATCTAAAATTATTATTTTAAACATTTAGCATTTTCGTGATGTTTTATGATTATATTATGAGTAAAATTAAATTTGAACATAGATCTTATTTTAATAATTTTTATATAAATAACACAATTTTAATAAATAAAATCAACTCAAAAAAATAATATAAAAATAATTCTACCTCAACGTCTACCTTTTTATTTTGTGTAAATATTAAATTTATTTTTCCTGTTTTTGATAAATAAATTTCATTCCTATATTATTTTTTTAGTAAAATGGAAAGTATTTCTGGTTCGATTTATCTTGAAAACCCCAAAAAAGAAACTGATCCTAATATATTAGAAGATGAAGATACTCAAAAATTTGAAGGTCTTTCATTCATGATTAAGTTAACAACAATTCAAGGTTCAAGAAATTCTGCTCGTTTATTTTTTATTAATGAAGAAAACAATGAAAAAGAATCTCCAATTCCTTCTGAGATTAGGGTCATTGATAATACTATTTTTTCAACACCTTTTACTGTTTCTCCTTTTCCTGGAACAAATTCATTTTTAATTGATCATTTACATAGATATCAAGTTTATTACAATAATCAATGTATTTATCATATCTATTCTGAAAAAAAATTTGTTATTCATAATGATCGTAAACCTTTGCAATATTTTTATAACCCTTAAATATTAAATTAAAATAAAATAAATTTTATTATTAAGATCATTGTTTATCATTATTTTTAACAATTTTAAAGTAACCAGTATTTTGAGTTAAAGTAAAACAATTTAATCTATCATTATCTCTGTTTAAATTAGATTCTTTAAAATTTTCTTAACTTTCGGTTTGGCAATGTTCAAAACTTAGACCATGTCTTTCTAAATATTATGTAGAATTATCATTTATTGTTTCAATTTCATGATTCGAATCGTTTATAAATTTTTCGATTCGATGCTTCAATCGCTTGTTAGGTTTTCTTTTTGCTGCAGTAGTGCTAGATTTGGCCATCGACTGTTAACGGCTGTAATCAGAATCATCATCAAAATATGATTCAGTTTCAGACTCAAATATATGTTCTTGGGATCTTTTTCCTGATGTAGTCAAAGATAAAACTAATTGTGATTGTTGTAAAAGCTCCTGTTTGTAATCAGAAAGCTCACGGCATCTAGGATAATCACATAGATAATTCTTTTTGAACTTGGAAAAACAACGACACCAGTAAACTTGATTGTCAGCTTTAATAATCACTTCACCATCTTGATTTTTGTTTAATTCCTGCACCACAGCCTTTAGTTCCTCAGATGTAAATTCGCCTTTACGATATTTTACATCCCATGTCATGGATCGAAATTCTTCCTCTAAACCTTTATGAAATATTACCTTGGTAGTGTGAAGATCTATCTTATCATGCTATATATCCTTAAATTCGATAACATAATCAAGGCAACGATAAAATTGACCCCAATCACGTTGAGTTGATATCTCTTCATTTATATTATACCTTCGAAAATTAAAAGCTTCTTCTGGTGGTTTGTGAGATGTCATAAAGACATACTTGGCAAGAAAAGGTACAAATGTTTTGCCTTTTTGCTCAACATTCTCTGGAGTATCGTTTAAATATTTTACAATATCATTCCAATCCAATGATGTATACCATTTATCAAAAAGAACTATCTCATGTCTCTTATATCCATCCCACCAGTTAGATCCTGATTTTTGTTTTTTAGGTTTAGCATAATATTCATTAGAAAATAATTCAGAAACCAGCCCAGAC